TTCCTATGAATGGCTTTTAGAAATTGTGTCATATGATTCCTACATTTAGTCCAAAACGCATTTTCTTTTGAATAGACAAATAAATAGATGTTTATATCTCTGAAAGTGTAAAATATTATTGCAGTTATGATATATAAGGACTTTTTCCAAGTGGAGGAGTGTACGTAGAGGTTTGTAACCCTATTGTTACGTGATCAGAGCTCTGTGTTTTTCCAACCACAGTCGTTTCATACGTGTCTTCTTGGACAACCTGAAAACATTTTTATAGTACATGTCTTTTCCCTTTTCTTACACATATTTATTTATTTACTGAGATTTTTCTTCATTCCATTTAAGCAAAAGAAAAAACTGATTTCAGTTAGTGTTTTTTCTCTCTCTCTCTCTCTCTCTCTGTCTGTCTATCACTGCTGAATAAATCTAAAACAGGACTCTTCCTCTTTCGCTGCTCTATAGATCCAACAGAAAAACTTTCTAGGAGTAAGACCATGAAGCGGATCACAGATGTTTTTTGTTTTACTTGTTTTTTTCGCCACTTGCAGCGTTTAAAGCGAAGCAAAAACGGCTTCGCTGCTTTAAGTAGGTACAGTATTTGCAGCAATGCCAGCCGCCACGCCCAAATTGGCATGGCTTGCTTTGCATGGTTTGCCACCAGCAGTTCTGGCTGCTGTTTCTTTGCCGTTGCCAGGTAAAGTACAATGTAAGCGTGGTGTGAATACAGTGTAGCCCAATTTTTTAAGCAAATGTAGCCGTGTTTTAAAGCGCCAGTTTTTCGGCCGTTTTAAAGAAGTAAAATAGTATTTTGAAGTTTGAATCAGTGATTCGTAAAACCGTAAACGTAGAATTGTTTTTTTTTCTTATTCCTTTTGCTTTTTTTTATTTTTGTTGTTAGTACTTCCACAATCAATTTTGAATTATGTAAAAGTATTTTTTACAAATACTGAAAATAAGGAACCCAGCAATATATAAACTGAAGTCTCCTTTATCCTAAGTTGTCTTATTATTAATTTAAATTATATATAAAAATGGATCATATAATTCATAATAACTATAAATTCCATACAAAAATGCTTAATTTTTTTTCTTTTAATACTCTTAAGTAGTCAAGAATGTCTCTGATTTTTAACATTTCAATTTGGTAAGAAATTTTGTTGAACTTTGTTCATATATATTTTATTTTGCATTTCTTTTCTTAAACATACATTGGTGGGATTAGTGTTTTCTTTGATGAAATGCAGATTTTTCTTCCTTTTATTTCCTTTTCATTTTTTTTTTTTGCCATTTGACCTTGCTCTAATACTATTATTCATATAAATTCAATACGTGAACCATCTACTATATTCAAAAGTTAAACAAAGAAAATTTTATTGCTGTACCTTTTACTATAAAGGCTTTATTAATCTGTACTGATTTGATTATGAGTTTTGTATGTATAATACAGATACTTTTTTTATAAATGTGTACTGTTCGAAAATAGTATTTCACATAAGCATTATTTTGTACATTATGTTAGGATGTGAGCTCTGGTAGCTTTATTAAGTCAATAGCTGGTAGCTTTTATTAGTCAATAATAGGAAGTGATACCCTACAAGGTAGATCAACTAGATCATGTGCAGGGTAAAAAAAGAGGGCCGTGTGTTGATCTGGTGATAGGGCTGTGTTGGGAATAACTAGATCAGGTAGGGCTGTGTTGCATTTCACGCGTTTTTTTAAACTTTTTTTTTTTTCTAAGCATTTTTTTTTTCCTCCGACCCAGTATTGAGTCTTCACCAGAATCTTTTTTATTTCCTATGGAGTGGGCGTGCTCTGCTTCCTGGACTTCTGTGGCCTAGGGGGGGGTTCAAAGTCTCAGGGGCTCTTTCGGGCTGCTGAGAGCTGCATGACAAATTGCACCGCGCCCTATGTCTCGATCTCATTCGATTTGAATTCGAATATCACTTACGACAACTCTGAGCAGGATCACCTGGCTCACGGGTCGATAGCAACGCAGCTGCAGCTGCGTGATAATTGCGGAATTGCAGGACACATTGAGCACCGAGCGCTGAACGCGCATGGCGGCCTCTCTTGTCTTCCTGACTGGAGGTCTCGCCTTTTGAGGGTCTTATCTTACCTATGCCTTGTTATTTGGGCCCATTGGCCAAGTCGTCTACCTTACCGGCTCAAGGTGAAAGGAATTCTTCCGGAGCCGTCTGACCTGTCTGCGCGTCTGGTGTCCGGGGAGCTCTCTTTCCCATGCAGGGCCACTCCGTCTGTCCGATCGCTCCCTTGAGACGTCCTTAAGAATCGGGAGGAGGCACCTTAAGAACTTTGAAAATTTTTTTGCAACGACTGAGACAGATCAGACTACCCTGCCGAATTTAAGCTATATTATCAAGGAAGGAAAGAAAACAATCAGATTCCACTAGCAGCATGAGAACAGAGATCACCCCAGCGCCGAATGCCTGCCTGTGCAGGGAAATGTATGTCAGCGAGTCGGCTATGGGCCCAGTGTGAGCGGGAAGTCCCCACGATCGGGGCAGCCTTCCCAGGAGGGTGTGAGGCCCGTTTTCGCTCATCGTGGTTCCTCTTCACTCACCTATGCACACAGGGTTGCTTGGAAGTGCAGCCCAAGACAGCCAGGCAAACACCCAAAGCCAACAAGACCTTAGACCAATAGCAAACAAATACCGTGAGGGAAAAGTTGAAAGAACTTCAGAGAGATTTTAATAAACGTGAAACTGCTCAGAGATACAAAAATCTTCAAGTTTGCAAAGCGTAGCGCGCAGCTTCGTACGTTTTCGCAGTGTAGCCGTTGCCTTTTCGTTTGCGCGGTGTGTGTTTCCGCGCTACTACAAAATGGTAATGCGTAAGCGAAAATACGCGTATACATCCATCTACGAATCTTTTTATAGTTTTGAATGTAATTAATTATTCCTTAGCTAGTTCTTTTGTAGAGGAATGTAATCAGTTAGAGTTTTTAATTATATATATTTGCTATTTCTTTAATCTTTATGTAAACTTATGATTTTGTTTCCAAATGAATCAGTAAATAATGTTATTCTCAAGTAATGATGAATCTAATATAAAAAAAATTTTGAAAACCCTTACTTTTTTTTAACAACGGCATCTGTGATATTGAAAATTCTTTTTTTTCAAAACTCTTTCTAAACTTATTCCTCACATTCCGAATTCAATTGCTCTCGAAACAGTTTCTTAAGTACATCGTTAAGATTTTCTGTACTATTTCATCATTATACTGTAAGCTGCTGGATGTGTGATGATTATGACTGCCAAAGTTGTAACTATTGACAATAGGTTCAGCAAGATTTTATGTTTTATTATTTTTTTAAAACTCTTATAAAGTTGACGTTGATATTACTTACATACATTTCAAGATTATAGCTTTCAAATTGAACATAACAAAATTTAGAATCCTGAAGTCATCTGGGAATCCAAGTCTTTTAAAAAGGTTAAATTAATTTTGTATGTAAAAATTAGTTATCCAAATTTTTCGAATGTTTAAAAAATAACTTGGTGCAGCAGATTTCTTTTTAAAAAACAGTATTTAAACTCAATTCATCCCGAAATCTATCGAAACAAATCTAACGGTATCTATTCAGTCATGTAGCAAACACATGAATCTTTTCCTTGTTTTATAAAAAAAAAAAAAAAAAAAAAAAAACTTGTAAAAATATACTAACGGAATTTTTACGAATTTTCAACTGCACAATGAGTGAGCAGAGATAATTTTTATTTTTTTCCCTTCACACTTGCTTAAGAATTTTGATCTGCTGCTCATAGTTTTGGTGCATTAGAGTGTTTCGTCGTGGTCAGTGTCATTATTTTTTTTCCTTTAGATTATTCTTTAATCTTCATGTTTATTCACTTATTTGTTCCTCATTTAAAATATAATAAATTACTTTTATATCCATTTGATAGAAATTCGACCCAAAATATTAAACATCCAGCTAGGTATCACCCAAATAGCACTAACGTAAGAATAGCCGGGAAAAGTATCACATTAATAAAGTTAGCATTTTTTTGTATAGATCTTTACATGCACTGTAAACGTATTTCATATTATGCAAATTAATATAAAAATAACTTATAATGTAAAATATGTTTGTTTTTAATCACATGCTACCTTCTTCCTATTTGTAAGGCCTTAAAAGAAGTCGTTTCACACTGTTCTATTAAACGTTTTGTCATGAAGAAATGTATTCTAGCCATATGCCATGTCTTTCCCTATTTTCCCAATTTTTTTATTAAGAAAAAAAAAATTAAAATAAACTGGGATATGCAGCAAATGTTTCAATACTTCACTATCATGTAAAAAGGTATATATATTTTGAGAGGACAGTGTTATCATAAACTAATTGATACATGAAACTAAAAGAGAGACAACATATATAAGAGTTATACATAAATATATATATATATACATATATATATATACATATATATACTGAAAGTAAATCATTGAAAGAATATATATATACATATATATATATTATTAATAAATTAACAATATAGATTCTTTGAGAAAGAAATCATTAGCTGATGTTCCTGCTGTACAGGGGAGAAATTAAAAATTATTAACTAGATGGCACCTTTTTTCAATGAGGACCAAGTTTTTAATAATATTTTGAATAAAATTAAATGAATCGTCATTTAGATTTAAAGACTCGCTTAATATTTATATAAAGAAGAAAGGTGAAATATTTAAATTTAAAACCATTGAGCCGCATTTTGCTGTTCATTAATTAAAGAACTTTTTTAAGATTTTTATTTACAAAATACAAAATTTTTTAAATTATTCTCAATGAAGATGTGACTTATCCTGCAATCTTATATGGGGCGTAACAAAAATAAAAATTCAATTTTATAGTGACTTTTACATTTCCTTGATTAGCATAAGGGAATTTAAAAGTTTAATAATACATTTAAAATGAATACAATATTTAATAGGTAATATTGCTTCAAAAATACCTAGTTAAATGTATATCAATAACAATCAAAATTTTAGTACATTTTTTCATTGATGAAAGAAAAAATTATTAAATGTAACGATCTCTAAAAGAATATATGAATAATAATAAATAATTTCAAGCACACATAGACCATAACGTAATATTCACAAGAACTATATTAGCGGAATGAAAATATAATGCATGATTGAAGAGGGTCTAATAAAAATTAACTCACTGGTTGAACACTTGAGAATTTCAATAAAATACTACTAATTAACTATTTCCCTTGCTACATTTTAAAAGAAGACTTAAGAATTACTCAATATACTGAATTAATGTCGTTTCGACAAATTAAAATAGAATGGGATCGATGAATTTCCGAAAAACGATTTAAAAAATTTCAAATCAAAAAATTTTCTTTATTTAGGGCAGGTAACAAAACTAGACTGATTACTTAACATTCGCTATGTTTAAATTTTTTTTTAATTTTGCTATTTTAGCTAGCCCATGAAGAAAAAAAATATCGCTTCAAAATTGTTACTTAAGAAAAATTGTCAAAATAGGGAAGAAAAATATTTAAAAAATTCTTACAAGAAATATTTTTTAAAAAAATATTTTTTTAAGACAGTTCATTTTGAAAGAAAGTATCAATGTATGTCTCATATTTAAAGCATCCGTATAAATTGTATTTATTAATCTATTGACGTAGTTCTTAATGTCGATATAAATTTCTTTCTTTCAATTAATAAATAAACACTGTAAATGATGTGAATAATACAATAGTATATAAATATATAGATATAAATGATATAAATTTATGGAATAAATGATTATATTGAATTACATATTACCCTAAGTAAAATTAGTAAATATTATAGTTATGATGCATAGTTTTCTATCATTACCTATCAAATCAAGCACAGAGAATTTTAGTTCCAGTATTTGTGAGAAAAAATCAATTACACTTGGATGCGTTTGAGCGAATCTAATTTTTAAAGTCCGAACTTTCTTTTTTTTTTTTTTTTTTTTTTTTTTTTTTTTTGGCTTACATCATTTATTTTCCTTTTATATGTGAAAGATTTTTACTTTCAGATCCAAAGATTATAATGTTTCATACACCAATTTCTCCTCCAAATACTTATTTAATGTACTTGCTAAACATTAAAATTATAAAGAGAGTGAAATCCTGATATCAATAGTAATTTTCTATCACTAGGATAGGGAATGAAAAGTACTGTTGAAATTCCCTCTCTTCGCTGTAGTTACTATTGCAGGAAAATCTTGCAAGTAAGACCGCAGAACCCCCTCTCCCAAATGCACAGCTACTGCGTATAGCATTGCTTCATTTGTCAAAATTTGTAGCTGTTTATATATATATATATATATATATATATATATATATATATATATATATGACTCTTAATGTTCTGGTTATTCAAGAAAGAGAATTGGATGATCCTGGTTGGAAGATTCGTAATAATGACAATCCAGATCCGAATTATCAATAACTTTTTTTTTTGTCTAGCCCTGCATTGCATTAGGAAATAACTGTCTTTTTATAGTTTTGTTTGTTTCCATAAGGTTGTATGATACCATAAAATAAAAAAATTATAATGAAGGAGTCGAGCTTTGTAAGGAAAATCTGTTTATTTTTTACTTTGGGATAATTCTTTTAATATTACTTGTCTAGTAATATGTTTATAAATTCCAGCAAAAAATGTAAAAGTTAAGTACAGAAAAAAATCATTTTTTACGTAATTCCAGTCCAGAAAATCAAAATTGTAAAGTACAGAAACCAAGCTATGATATTTGTGTAAGTTAAATAAGTAAATGAAGGAAATTAGTAAATGTGAGAAAAGTGAAATTGAATACAAATATTTTCTTCAATTTAATACAAATGTATATAACATAGTAGAATATTAAATTACTTTAACAGAGACATAAATATAATTACGAAACTTAAAAATAAAATTAAATCAGCCTAAGAAAATAAATGCTGAAACGTGTCTATTTAATGAAAATCATTTCTCAAAGGCAGTTCATAAATCATTTTAAAATCCAATTATCCTGTTTTATCATTTAGTTCATGAATAATTTAGCTACATTGCACATCATTTTGAACATATTTTTTTTAAAATTTTATATGAAAATTACTAGTCTAAAATTGAGAGAAACATAAACATAAAATACATGCCTTTGTTTATATTTGTAAAAAGGTACTCATTTGATTTTAAGTAAAGCCTTGTACCTTTTGGTATTTTTATACAATGAGAAATAAGGTAATAATTTCCCTATGCAACTATTTAATTTTTATTTCATTTTAAAATTAGCATCATATACTTATTTATGGTTTGAAAGAAAGAATAAATTAACATTTCTTCATAAAATAAAAAGCGATGTTGAAATTAAAAATATGTTTTCGAGAATGAAATACACTTGAATTTAAGCAAAAAGTGTCAAATGACTATTCAGCTTTGCTGAAAATATAATAAATATTTAAAATCTCACCTTATTTCAAATTCAGGTTAAACTATCACGAGAAACCGTATGAACTCATTGGGAACTATGATGCATGAATCCATGTATGTTAATTTAATTTACATGTTGCATTCAAATGTAATATATCACAATTTTAACATTAAGCAAAATTTTCTAAAATTTAAAGTACGAGTATTATGAATGATATAATATAAAAGTTACCAATCTTTTCTATAGATATTTTGGTTGAATTCCAATAAGAAATGTTTACACTATCTATATGTATTTGTACTACACCAACA